TTACTTTCTTGTTCTTCACATACTTACTTAGTGCCTGTGCACTTGGCTTTATTCATGAACTTTGTCGTCTTCTTGACTATTTTTCTCTTTTTTCATTCAATCCTCTGGCTTTTTCTCTTTCTAGCTCTTTTGCTTAAATCCGTCATTGTTCCAAGCTTTCAAGCTTCTGCAACTGTCTTCGTTCCTCTCCTCCGGTGAAGCTTACATCATTCTGTCATTGTCGTCAGACTTCGGCAATTCTCATTCTGGCTTCCTTCTTTTTGGTAAGCCACTGTTCCTCCTGGTTTTATTTCTTATTGCTTTCCAAGAAGTTTTGCTTCATTGTTAATCACCATTGCTGTTTTACCCGTTGTTTCCAAATCATCTTCTTGAATACACATTGTTCACACATCTGTTGATTTCTGCCATTGTTCTTAGCTTGACACTTGTGCAATCTTTTTGTCTTGATTTCCTGATAGCTTCATCACCATTCTTGATTACGAAGTACATTCTTGTTTCTGTTTTTTATGTTTTTTTTTCCAGATTCTTGCTTTCAATCCTTGCCTTCAAACTCCAAGGTGCCAATCGCCGAGAAGAGCCTTGATCAAACTCTTCAGGAGATCGATGCTGAGCTCGAGGCCGAGAAGGCTGCTGAGAAGTCTTCCCAACTGTCTTCTATATCCTGCCATTGATGCCGAGTAGTTTTGTTTCCTTCTTGAAATTGTTGCCGAGATAATGGTAGAGAAGCTCTCCCAGCTGACTGCCAATGCTGAACCACCATCAACTGTTGAAGTAGATTAGTCCGACGTTCTTGTCTTAGTCCCTAATTCTTAGGGTCATCATCTTCGTACTTTTATTTTCTTTGCATATGTATCAACCAGAAAAAAAAATTAAATTGATTCTAAAATTGAAACAAAATATAATTTTGTTTTCCATGATGGTTGAGAGTTTTGCAATTTATTATTTGTTTTTTTTTTTTGCATTTTTTACAGGGTAGTTGTGGATTAGATTAGAAAGTGATAGTCTTTTTTGAGAAGTTTTTTTTAATTTTCTTCTTTTATATCCAAGCCAAGTATTTGAATTTTTTGTGTTAATATTTTAAATTAACATTATATTGTTAATGTGGTTTAAGAATGATTAATTATGTTTAAGGGCCCATTAAATTGTATAATTACAGAGATTTGAATTTTGAAAAAAAAAAATCATAGTTTTTAAAACTTCCACCAATTCTGACATGGCTCATTTTTCCTCTCTTTTATGTCACGATTACCATTTCTCTTTGGATCATGCCATAAATGAGGTAAAATTAACTTCAATTATTTTGCTAAGTGTTTGGATATATATAATCATGCTTTTATATTAGATGACTAGGAATATACAAAGATTGCCTTGACGAAAATTAATCTCTTGATTGAATCTTTCTTTGACCTAATTTTGCAAACCTTTGCTTTTTTTTTTTCCCTCTCTCTCTCTAGGACTCCATTGTTGAGTTTAGAGAGCCTATGAAATGGGATTATGAGATGAGATTATAAGTATGATGATATTAAATTGGACATTTCATAAGGTGAGAAGCTAAATAATCTTTCAATCCCAACCCTTCATTCTCAAGAGATTCATAATATGCTATTTTTATTAATCCAATCTCTCTCCCTCCGTGTTTTCGAGTTGTTCGTGGTGAACTTTACTGAGTCTTTTTTTTGGAACAAGTACTTATTTTTTGAGCTTGCTTAAAGCTTTCTATCACTAGTTTTTCCATTTTTTTTCATTTCTAGAGTGTTCGTCGTCTATTTCATGATTAGATCGGTTGATATGTATTTTTTTCATATTATTTGTTTGTTTTACAATATTTATACATGTTGTAGGATTGATTGGTTGATATATATTTATTTTTTTATGATGTTAGTATTGGAACAATCTTATATGTAAAATAAATAATGTGAAATAAATCAAACAAATGAAAATAAATTACTTACAGAATTTATTTACCGAAACAAAAAAGTATAAAGATAATCAAGTCGAGTGTGTGACACTTTGTGCTTAAGATAGATTCGCCCCGTTACGGTGCTTATGAATAAATGGGGTCTATCTCCCAAGATACAATGATATACACAGATTGTAGTAGCACTCCAAACAATCGACACGGCGAACCAGAACCTGTATTCAATACTCTCAGAAATTTCTCTAAAAACTAGAATCAAGAACAATGCAAACAAAGAGCAAAAACGGTAAGAGAATTTATTTTTTCTAGATGTGAAAATCTGTTGGAAAAGTCTCCTATTTATTGGAAAGTTGGTGACTGTTTGGCATATTTGAACAGGTTCAAGTTTGAATCGAACAAGTCTGATCAAGGACCGAACATATGCAATTAAATCTGAACAAATAAAGACTTCAAACTGAATAGGTGCAGTTCATTTTTTTCAAATCTGTTTGATCTGCTAGAAAATGTGGAAGAAAATTTCAGACCGGAAGATGTTTGGACACAAAATTTGAATTCAAATTTGGCGCAAAAAGTTGGATTAATTTCGTTCAGAAATTTAAATAATTTTCCCGCAACAATTTGAAAAAATTCAAATAAATTTTTTCTAAAAAATTACTATTATAACCGACCCGATCCACACCCGCGCCCGACACGGCTGGGTCAGCCGGTCGAATAGAAAGCGATGGCAGCGCACGCGTACGTGTAATGGTTTAAGCCTAAGCCTATTTTGTCCATGACTCCTCCCTTCTACAAACTTGGGTGCCCTTTGGGCCCAACCCAAGTTTGTCTACCTAGAGCTTATAAACACATACAAACTCTCTTAAAGTTTCAATGTGAGACAGACATTTCAAGGAAATCCACATTTTACTCTTTAATTGTCTATTCTATGAACCCGAAAAAAAATAACTTCTCATTCACTTAGAAATGGTTTTGATGAACCGTTTGTACCATGTGACTTCTCATGTGGTAAGGAACACATCACCTTTTTGGGCCCACCCCAGAAGACGTGTGGGCTCCACTCAAATTTGGGTTCAAAGTTGGCCCAAAATAAGCCTATAAAAAATCATAATCCAACAATTCCCCACATAAATGGAATTTGACGAATAGAAAATGCAACAACATGATCTAATTATAGAGAGTACAAAATTCGGTGATATTTTGAAAAGGATAGGTATCTTTTGACTTTGAACCTTCCCTTGTGAGACACTATCGGATTTAGTAGCTAGCTAGTGAACATGATGTCTTGAACTGTTCAGTCATTTGTGTAATCCAAGACAATAGAACTCACACAATATATTACCAAACACAGTTTAGTTCTCACTATTGTGTTCATTTTGGCCCTGAACAACCTAGCCTTTCATGAGTGCTTCAGAAAATTGTAACCCTTCACAAATCTCATAGAACCAGCCCAGTTCACACTCATATAGGTGATTCTTATGAAGAGTATCCTACCATACTTCACTAGATATTTCTAGATATAAGAAGCATTAAAAGAACTACTTAACCTAAAACGCTGTAGACATCACTATTTCATCATAGAAATGGGTAAGAGTTTGACTCCCCAGTGATCCCTATGAGTCATGTACAACTCGGTTGTCCCTTTGAACTTAGATCTTGGGATCTTCAATCAACTAGGTTGGGTTTCCGTTGTGGTAACTCTTATTTAATAGGTTTAAGTCTTATTCCTCTCGATGAATTCTCAACTAACTCTCTTGCTAACCTTTTGGTTAGTGGAGCCGCTATGTTGTTTTTAGACTTCATACATTCAATGGAAATAATTCCATTAGAGAGTAGTTGTCTCACGGTGTTATATCGACGACGAATGTGTCGCGAATTACCGTTATACATATGACTTTGTGCTTAACATATTGCTGATTGACTATCACAATATATGCATATAGCAGGTACCAGTTTTGGCCACATTGGAATATCTTCAAGGAAGTGACGAAGCTATTTTGTTTCTTCCCTAACTTTATCTAAAGATAAAAATTCTGATTCCATAGTAGACCTAGCAATGCAAGTCTGTTTGGAAGATTTTCAAGATAAAACCGCACCACCAAGGGTAAAGACATACCCACTAGTGGATTTTGAGTCTCTAGTATTCGATATCCAATTTGTATCACAGTACCCTTCAAGTACTGCTGAATATCTAGTATAATTTTACCTAATGTTATGAGTAAATCGGAGATATCTTAGAACCCTTATAATAGCTTTTCAGTGTTCTACTCCTGGATTACTCATATATCTACTTAATTTACTTACTGCATATGCTATATTTAGGCAAGTGCAGTTCATCAAGTACATGAAGTTTCCAATAATTTGGGCATACTCTAATTGAGATATATTTTCCTATGCATTCTTAGAAAGAAACAAATTATGATCATCATCTTTGCTGAATTTGTCAAGTATTTCTCAATGTAATGTGATTGTGACAAAGCATATCCTTCAGATATTTTGGTAATTTTCATATCAAGAATTATATTGGCAACCCCCATGTCCTTCATGTCAAAATGTTTATTCCACATTTTCTTGATAGTTTTAATTATGTCATTATTACTACCTATGATGAGCATATCATCTACATAAAGACATACTATTACATAACCTTTGTTTGTGTTTTTAATATAAACACATTTGTCACATTCATTAATTTTAAATCCATTTGACGTCATTGTCTTGTCAAATTTCTCATGCCATTGCTTTGGCGCTTGTTTTAAACCATATAATGATTTAACTAATTTAGAATCTATACTACATTTTCAATGCAAAGTATGTAACCAATTACAACTCACATCATATGTAGGATACATGACATGATGTACACTTGTACGACCCATGGCAAATGAAGGTTGAGATTGGGATTCAGGTCGAGATTGGGATTGAGGTTGAGAAATATAGGTTGCACGACCATCACCCTAAAGTAAACCAACGTAAAAAAATAAAGTATGAAATGAAAAATAGTAATAAATTATTTTCATTTTAGAAAACATACAATATGAAATATTACCTCGGCATAATTAGTATGACACATGGCAAAAGAAAGTTAAGATTGGGATTCGCGACCATGACCCTAAAGTAAACCAACACAAATAAAAGAAGAATGTCCATCAAAAAAAATAATAATGTATTTTAATTTTAAAAAACATACAATATGAAATATTATCTGAACGTAATTACTACGACCCATGCCAGAAGGGGGTCGAGATTGACCTTGTGGAGTGTAAACACCCTAATGTAAACCAACATAAAGCAAAGAATAAGACAAAGATCATAATTCCTTATGAGGTTCAATTTCCCTAACGTCTATGCATGTCAAAGGTAAACACCCTAAATTAAATATTACCTGTATCGAATGATTACCCATGTCGGAAGAAGGTTGAGATTGACCTTGATAAGTAGAAAAAGAACCATCCTACGTGCATCACAAAAGACCAAAAATAATCAATATAACGCTACTAGTTGCAAGAATAATCAATCCATCAAATTAATACAAGGTTGCACACAAAAGTAAAAATTACCTGACTAGAAATATTACCAATGGCAAAAGGAGGTCGAGACTGACTTTGTGGAGTGTAAACACCCTAAAGTAAACCAACATAAAGCAAAGAATAAGACAAAGTTCATAATTCCGTATGAGGTTCAATTTCCTAACGTCTATGCATGTCAAAGGTAAACACCCTAAATTACATATTACCGTAATGCCTATTCTCTAAATTTTGATTAAACATATTTCATGCCAATTAATGTGGCCACCAAATAATGTAGTGACAGGCAAACCAGCTCATAGAATTAAGACCACAACCCCGTTTTCATCACCATCGTTGCCCGAGGAAGGAGAGGGAATACTGTTGCCTAAATGGCCATTGGACAAAATAAGACAAAAAAATAATAATAATAATTATATTGATGGTAAATCACCACTAGTAGTAAATAATGATCTATGTATTAGAAAGTTGAGCTTCAGTCTGTAATAAAAATAATAATTATTATTATATTGATGGTAAATCACCACTAGTAGTAAATAATGATCTATGTATTAGAAAGTTGAGCTTCAGTCTGTAATAGAAGCAAAGAGGAGTAAATAATGATCTATCTTTTCTACTGAAATCTGCACAGCTATATATTATGCACAAGGGAAAACAGAAATTCGATATCACTCTTACTCCTTTCATAGGCCTCCATATTATGTGAGAAGCTGCTTCACGTGATTAGAGGGAGAGAGAGAGAGAGAGAGAGAGAGAGAGAAAGAGGGGATCAGGCCCCTGTGGTTCATTACCCTCAACACTTGTACCGGCATGTGGATTTCCCATAGCCCCTTGTATCATTCCAATCATATCATCTCCAATGTCTAAATTAGCTAATGTTTCATTCTCTCGATTACTATGCAGAGATACGTAAGATTCC